TTGTATTAAAAATGATCTTAATTTACTAGAACTAAATGAAAATATGACACTAAATAGGACGCAATGGAGAAAAAGGATTCATGTAGCCGACCCCACGTAGTGGGATTAAGGCTTTGTTGTTGTTGTTGATGTTAAAATTGGTAGTTGTTGAAGAGTGGATTGAAGAGTGATCTTACAACAAGAACCAAGACCAATCTTCAATATTCAAAATGCTAACGACACGTGGGGATCCTACGCAAGCTTTCACTCTAAAAAATATTCTCCTTTTGTCAAGAATGTTTCTGGTTAAGGAAATATTTTGGTTTTTAAAATCTTATTGAAGGTGTCAAACAAGTGATTTGACATTTCTTATCAATATTAAATGGGATGTTAATGCTGGCAAATATATTTTCTCGAAAGAAAATAGGGGACATGACATGCCTCTTACCACAACTATTCAGCCTCTTCGCTCATTCTAGAAGCGACGTGCTTTCTGTTAGTCCTTATTATTTTGAAGCTCACCATGGATTTGCTCATCAGAAAAACAAAATTCCCGTCTCATTCTTAGACGATGTTTCTTCCCTTATTGCCATAAATTTAACTTATGATATCCATGAAGATAAATCTATAACAAGCAAATATTCTCTATTAAGTATTTTAATTTTGTCCTTTATTTAGAGAGACAAATATATCTCTTTTTTTTTTGGAACTGAAATATTCTTGCTCCGCAAAAAAAACTTCTATTCATGTTTGCATGTTGCCTTTTGAAGAAAATGCTACCAAAACAACTCTTCATAATCCGTGTTTTCGTCATACAATGACTTGTTCTATATGAAAAGCTCTTCTTCTTCTGCTAATTGATTCATCATCCTTCGTTTTTTGAATACAATAGAAGTACTTGAAGACCTACTTATGCTATTAACTTAAATATCAAACCACTTCCTCTTATCACTGAGAATAAGATGAGGGAGAAAAGAAATTGTTCTGCCAATGATTCTACTGAAAGCTTATTGAATAATAAGAGTGATGAGAACTTTTAAATTTAAAAATTCTAACATCCGTGGTTCATTATGTTCTTACATTGATGGAGATAGTAGAAATGAGAAATAAATTAATTGTATAAAACTTTCTTTAAATTGTTATGCTATTATGACTTATTTTGATAATTAAATAAACATTTCTATTTTATGATTAGATGTTTGGATGATTTCTTGTTTCGAACAATTTTAATAAGTTTACTATACCAAGATGTTAACATGTTACATTTTTATGCACTAAAATATTAAGATGTTAATATATTACTTCTAATCATATACTATAAACTTAGTGCGAAGCACAATTTGTAATTTTGAGATTTACCCGCAAAAGCTTGGAGGTTTATGCCTAATTAAATGGATAAAAAAAATCTCAATACCTAATGACACAATTTTAAACTTAGTCAAGGATTGATTGTATTAACAAACACTAGGCAATTAAGACACTTTTGTTCTAACCTATTTCTCCTCTTAGCAAGAATCTCAAAATGTAAATCACAATGATTAAATAAGAGCATAAAGTGCATCTAGTGTACGGAGCTCCCACTGATCTAGGATTTCTTAAGGGGCTGTTGTACAAAGCCTTATCACTGTATTTATAAAAGGGAGTTTTCTTGACATGAGCCTGGAACTTCTGGATTATGCTTGAGAAAAAGAACTATTAGTGCTTTAAATCGACCCATTAAATCTCCAAGATCAAATGAATATCCAAAAATTAGATTTGATGCAACGTACACCTCCCATCATTCAATTATATAAAATATAAAGTTTACTAATTACATTTTGGCATACACCTTAATTAGTGGCTTCTGCAACATTAGACTTGATGCAAAAAACATTTCCCATCATTCAATTCTATACAAATTTTTTTAATAATTGCATTCTAGCACTAACAATAATCAACTATTAAAAGGTTATGGATCAACAAAGTAATACCCAAAGATATCACATTTTAATTTAGTTATAACATGTAAAACCATAACTATGAAATTGGCTCCCTATCTATCCGTGAAAGACTTGGTGTAGCTCCAGTGACAGACAAGATTAGAGAGAGTCATCTTAGATGGTTTGGTCCCATTAAACTCCGACCATCTGATGATCAAGTTAGGAGAGTAAATATTTTAGATTCGACTTATGTTAAAAAAGGCAGAGGTAGACCACCTACAAAGAAACCTAAAAAGAATGGGCAAATTGTATAAAAATTGATCTTAATCTATTAGAATTAAATGAAAATGACACAGTGCGATAAAGGCTTGTTGTTGTTGTTGTTGTTGTTGTATGAACAATATGTGTTCACTAGTTCTGAAGTCATCTTCTCATTATTGTATGGTTTCAACACAAAACATTGAATTCAAATTAACACCAATAAAGTTTAGGATCATTACCACAATATGAATTACAAAGTGCTACTCACTATTATCTATTTATTGTGTTGCTATTCATTGTTAAATATGTCAGTGCTAATGCCTTTGCAATGCTTCTGTTGATGTGATTTCGTGCTAATTCTACCACCCAACTTGCACTATTTCTCATGATGTTGTACATTATTCCCAATTCCACTAGTCTTGTTGGTTGTCTTCTCACCTCTACCGTTGCCTTTGCCTTTCCACCTAAGGCATTATTGTCACCTTTGCCTTCCTAGTAAGGTCCAGTTTTAATTATTTAAGCCTAAATTTAAGGATAAAGGTCATAAGTTTATTAATTAGGTTCAAGAAGCACTTAGGCAAGCTATATTAACCCTAATTTTAAGGTAAACAAAAAAAAAACATTTATTCAAAAATTATAAAGCATTAGACTCATAATTTTTTGCACTGCCTCGGAAGTGCAAATTCTTATTCCACAAATGCTCTATTGATTGTGGTCATGTGATATCATAAACCATGAATGTCATTGAAATATATATTATGAGAAAGTAAATATGATATATTCTTACCTCCAAGTACAGCAAAGCAACGCACCATAATAACTTTTTCCACCACAAAATAATCGTTCTTTGGAGTAGTCAAACACTCTTAAATAGCCTATAAAAGAAACAGGCCATTTCAATGAAAAACAAAGATGATGCTATTTAAAAAAGAAGGCAAAGAACTTGTATCAACTTATACCATCTCTACCAACCGTCGCTAAATATGTGCCATCTACTGAGAACGACATACTATTAATCGAACCCTGGCAAATATGCCACCTTATGGTCGGATTGCTCTGTGATCAAGTTAAAATAAATCAAGATCAAAAGAGAAGGTTTTTTATACGAATAAATGGGAAGAACAAAATCAACATCTGAAAGCACCAAGCCCACCCCTCAAATCAACAAGAATGAAAATGAAAAATCTCAAAACATAAAAGCAAAATTCCTCAAATCCTTGATAAAATAAATCAGCAAGATAGATGCATCAATTGAAACATGCCAAAGATAGATACTTTCATCTTATGAAAAACAATCAATTTGATTTATACTTGAAAAGGAATAATTAATTACACGTTTCTCAAATGCATTACAGAACCAACCAATGGATCCCAACTGGTATAATTGTCAGCTTATAAATTAATGAAATCTCATGCAGTTAATCCTCATCATCCGCAAACTCAACAACCCTCCTTCTATCTCACTTCTTCTTTAATATCCTTGCAGCAAATATGTGATAATATTTGGATGAAACCTCACATAGTTTATCATTATCTACATCAAAACTAACAGCTAAAGGCTTCCTATCAAAATCCTTCAAAATTATATTTCTTGAAGAAGGAATTGACATTAATTGGTAGCTTAGATAAAATAATTTTGGAAATCTTCAATCTGGTTAAGGACTTTTCTTTACTTTCCACACATCCCTTCCACATGAATGAAATGGAAAAGGTGCACAAAAATTAATTTGGTTTTAAAAACATTGAACGCAAGTGCGATTATTAACACAGAAAACACTTAACAAACATACCCTACTGGACCGTGCATGAGCAACAGTAAACTGAGCTGGATCTTTGACAGCAGGAAAGGATGGCTCAACAGTCCCATCCTTGTTCTAGAAAGAGAGAAAAGAGTAATTAGCTCACATTATAGTTAAATAAAATCATAATGGATATTCCTTTCCCATAATGACCCACTTTCTCATACACATAGAGGTTTCCATCAGCATGAGCAACAACAAAAATGCCATCGCCATCTGGTACCCATGCAACACAAGTACAGCGACTGCAGAGAGAAAAATTATCCACAGAACAATTAGATAAAAAAAGGTAGCGCTCAACAATAATACCATAGTAAACAAGATGTTGAGCAATAACACTAAATGAAGAGCAAAAAGACTGAATGCAAATATTTACTCGCCAGCTTCCATTCATATGAATAAACAGACACTATACATTGAATCATAGTTGCTATTGTTTTACCGAAAAAATAGCACAAGGTGCTTTAAAACAATGCAAAATGTGACCGTTCCACTTAAATTTCAGTAGAAGTGCAATGATTTAATGAAACACAATAAGTGCCTTATACAAATTTCCGCACTAATAGGCAAAAGTTAAATTTAGGTACAATTCTCACTGAATGAAGGAAATAATGGGTCAACAGTCCTATAATTGTTCTAGATAGAGAGAAAAGATTAATTAGCTCACAATGAATTAGTAAAAATAATCATAATGGATATTCCTTCCAGATGATGACCCACTTTCTCGTACAAAAAAAAAGGTTCACTTTAGCATGAGCAAAATAATTCCATTGCCATTGGTGCCCATGAAAAAACACAAGTGCATCGACTGCAGAGTAATAGTATCCACAGGACAATAAAAAAAAATGTATGTCGATAAAGTACACAAAATGGAGAGCAAAATGATAAAATGCAAAAATTTACTTGCCACCTCTCATTTTTTTTGAAAACCCTGAAGGAAATTTTATTAAAACCAAAACAAGGATACAACATCCGGCTAGAGGTACCTACTACACCCAAAATACAATGGACACAAATGAAAACCTATGGAATCACCATCGATAGGCACAACACACACAAAAAGCAAGAGAATGGGCTACACATATGAGAGAAAAAAAAAAAGAGAGACAATAGAAGGCGCAACAATATAAGAGATTGATCCGAATAAAAGGAACAACGATAAGTTCAAACCAGACAGCAAAAGAATCATCACCAAGCTCCCATGACAGCTAGCAGAAGCAAGGAGAACCCAACCCGAATCGTAGCTGGTATCGTTTAATGGAAAAGGATAGTGCAAGGGACATCAAAAAAAACATCAAAAAAAAAAAATGCAAAATGTGACCATTTCGCTTAAATTTCACCCAAAGTGCCATTATTTAATGAAATATGAAAAAGGCCTTTCACAACACCCTGCACTAACAAACAAAAATTAACTTTCAGGTGCAATTCTCACTCAACAACAGAAGCACTCGAGTTGACCTTAATCTATACAAATCAAGGCATTAGAAAACTATAACAAGGTAAACATCAAATTTCACAAGGTCTAGCTAATCCCTAGCACGATAATTACAGCAATTCTGGAACTAGAGCTTCCTTTTAGTTTTATTTGGCTTGGTTTAGCTCTTCCCAGTCACACAATCCTATTAGAATAAGCACTTTAATTTATCATCAAATTGGCAATCAAAACAAGGCAACTTAATAAATGCAAGCAAAGAGTTTCCTCACTATTATAGTTGATCTGAGTCCCTTACATCATAGCAATGAAAAACAAAACCACTGAGGGGGTAAATTCCATTCGATACCTTTTACTGCCACAAAGATTCAGATTTAGGAAATGGTTGGCTATGAAAATAATTTAGTGATAGTGTCATTTTTTATTTCGCATCAATTCAATGATCCAACGAGTAATAAATATCCAATTTTCTAACATAAATATAGATATTTCAGTGTGCCCTCACTTATATATTACTTCATTTACAGATTTCATGAAAGGGAAGTGCATGCCTGTTATTGATTGTGCCATCTTTATTGTAATGTTGAGCTCCCACAAGCTTCTTCCCAAGATCCTGTAACTGTTGCCTTAATGACACTGTGTAAACTTGAATTGCAAACAAACATTGTCAACATTTTAACAATATTCAGTTACTTAAGAAGAAGACAAATTTAAAAGAAATGAAAAATGGACCACCATATAATGAAAACATTGAATCTGAACTCACTGTCTCCAGACTGAAGCCCAATAAGCAAGTCATGTCCATCCTTCGCCTCAGAATCAAATGTATGGCACAGAGGGTTCGAGCTGCTGAAATGAATAGCCTTGATCGGATCCTACACAAAATTCATCACGTAGATGATGGTATCACAGAGCTCTAGCAAGAAAAATAATAATAATAATTAAAAAAAATATGTAAACCTTGTCTGAAGAATTGAGATCACTGATGAATAGCGTGTCACCAGCATTAAAGATTAAGTAGGCCCCTTTGCCATCATAATTTGCTGCTGCAGGAGAGCTGCTCGATCCTGCTCCGAAAGTCCCTCCGAACTTGTTAGTTCCAGATACTACCTTGCTCCCACCATTTGCACCGCCATAAGAGAAGGTCTTGCTTCCATTAACACCAACAAAAAGCCTAGCCGCTGCAGACTTCACCACGCTACTGGAGCTCGGCGTCGAAGGCGCACTCGGCCCTTGGGAAGTTGACTTCTCCTTGAGATACGCGATCGTCAACTATAGAAATCCATACTGGAAATCATAACCTTGAAGCTTACTAATAAAAGCACATAATAATAACCCTGATCCTACCTGAGAAACGGATTTGCCATGAGAGTAATGAAGGAGGCCAGCGGGGTGAGTTTTTTCATACTGAAGCTTATATCTGCCCTCGGGAGTTTTGAAGTAAGTCTTGAGGGGGATAGACGGAGGGTTCATGGACGACGACGGCGACGCCATGACTATCTGAGAATTAGGTTTTCACAGAGATCGAAGAAGCGGCTTTTGTACAGTCGAATTCTCCAAAATATCAGTTTCCGGTTCTATCCTTCCAGAAAAGGAAAGCGGGATCACACCTTGTTCTCTTCCTTCTTCTTCACCAGCGCTGCCTTGACGGTTAGATCCCGCCGGCTAGATAATGAAGCACGAGGGGAAAGGGGGGAACGGTGAGGAGAGTGGGATGACAATATGTAGGGGGCATTCACCTACATTCACCTGCATTCCACCCATTTCTTATGTATTTACATATGTAATTGCTAAAACTTTAACCATTACATGTATACCAATCAAATCTTTCCTAAGTCATAACACATCAAAAAAGCCACCTTCGACTTGGAAAAGAAAAAAAATGAAATACAACTCTTTAGGCATGAGTAAAATGGCACAAGGTAAAAATTAAATTTTAGCTATTATATATTTAAATACAATAGAATTGAGTGGTATGTATATGAAAAATGTATATTCTAATTTTTTTATTTGTTAAATAATAATATTTTGTATAAAATGAATTTAGGGGGTAAGAATATGACAAGTAAAATTTAGGTCCTAGATATATAAATACATAGAAATTAAGTGGTGAGAATATATGACCTCGCATTAAAAAAAAATCAGGTATGGTTATCACATATGATTATCATAGGAAAATTCTTTACTAGAAAAAATTTAAGTTCATATATATATATATGTATATAACATACATCAAAAATTTGTCAGCACAAATACTAAGGAGATCCAACCATCTAGAAGGAACTGTGACAAAGAAAGACCAATCGGCATGAGAAAAATAAGGCCCGGGAAAACTCTACCCTCACTTCTAAAGGAGGATCTTCCACATGTCGCTAATAGAGAAGGGTGCCCCAAGGTGACGAGTGGAGGCCGACAGATGATTCATGTCCTTCAACCAAATTGTGATATGAAGATCATCGACAACCCTAGGACCACAAGGGGAGCAACAGACATATCATACAACAAAGGAGGTCAGGCTCGATATCCTGACTAATGGTCAGCTCGTTATAACAAGCACCGCTATCTAACCACAAACTACCAAAAATGACTTTGTTTAGAATCTCAATGGCTGAGATAATGGAAGCCATCTAAAATAATGAGTACTTCAAGAAAGCACAACTAATAAAGATCAGAGCTTGCCTACGGGATTCAAAGCAAAACTATGCATATCACCTGGACAATGATCATGATACACAAGAAAACTAACACCTTCAGAGCCTGGCTGAGGAACTGATTATAACTGGAAAGCTCAAGGAGTTCGTATCTTTGGGAGCAGCGGCCCAAAAAAAGGGTAAAGTTCCAGTGAAAGAAACTATGCATATCACCTGGACCATGATCATGATACACAAGAATACTGACATCTTCAGAGCCTGGCTGAGGAGCTGATTATAACTGGAAAGCTCAAGGAGTTTGTATCTTTGGGAGCAACGGCCCAAAAAAAGGGTAAAGTTCCAGTGAAAGAAATTTTGAATGAGCCTATCCAAGCCCACACCATTCACATAGCTAGCATAGTTCATGCCATCTTCTAAGGAGGAGATTCGTCTTGTCAAGCAAGTTCAAAGAGGATTCAGTCAGACGAACTATGTTCAACCACCATTACACCTAGATGCAGCACATATCCCCCATCATATTTATCGATGTCGATCTACCCTCCAAGGGGAATCCATAGAACGATGACATCATCATCATGACAATGATCAGCAACTACCAGATAGGCAGCATTCTTATCAAAACTGGCAATTTGATTAATCTTTAAAGTGGTGTTCAATAAGATGGGCCTCAGAAAGGATGGGCTAACCTCCTTAACAAGCCCGCTCTATGGCTTGTCAGGTGAGAGGAAGGAAGCCTTGGAACTATAGTCCTGTCAGTCACCTAATGGGAAAACAATAAGCAGATCACGAAAATAAAAAGATTTTTTTGTGGTCGACTGGCCATCAACTTACAACACGATCTACGCCTAGCTCATGCTCAACAACTTCAAGGTTGTTACCTTGATGTACCACGTGGCGGTAAAGTTTCCGAGCGACAAAGAGGTGATCATCGTCCGAGATAACCTAAAGCAATCCTGCACCTGCTACTTCTGAGCGGTCGGAAGTGTGAAGTAGGAGCCACTTGAGATCAGGAATCTGTGTAAGGGAGGTATCGAGACCAACGAGGCCACCTATCAAGAACTCACTATCGAAGGCAACCCTAACAAATTTTTTTTATGATTAATGAAACTTTTGATGCAGGCTCAAAGCATGTGCTGATTAGGACTCTCCAAAACCACCGAGATGTCTTTGTCTGGTCCATGGTCAAGATGTTAAGGATTCTGATCGATGTTGTCTACCAACTTATGAATGTCAACCCTTCGGCTCACCCCATGAAGAAAAAGATGATGTCCTCGGTTATTACCCTAGCCGGGCCAAATAGGGAGGAAGTACAGAAGCTGCTAGAGGTTGGCAAGTTTGAAAAATCCAATATCCGACAAGGGTGTCAAACGAGGTGATGGTGCAAAAGGAAAACGACAAGTGGAGGATGTGCATGGAATTCATAAATTTAAACACTGCCTGCCAGAAAAGATAGCCACCCTCTGATCAAATTGATACTCTTGTGGATTTAGCGCTTGGTCACTTAATTATGAGCTTCCTTGATGCATTTTTTGGTTATCACTAAATAAAGATGCACTCAGCCGATGAAGAAAAGAAATTGTTCATTACTACTGAGAGTATATTTTGTTATAATGTAATATCCTTCAGTCTTAAAAATGTTGGGGCTACATACCAGTGGTTAATGGATATAGTTTTTTCTAAGCAATGAAAAAAAAAAAATTGAAGTGTATGTAGATGATATGCTAGTTGAAAGCGTAACGCCCAGTTGAAAACGTAACGCCCGAAAAACAGATACACGACTTGAATGAAACTTTTGAAATGCTTAGAAAATAAAACATAAGACTCAAGTGCACCTTTGGAGCATCAATTGGCAAGTACTTGAGCATCTTCTTAGCCATGAAGGAAATAAAAGTCAATCCCAAAAAGGTACAAACACTACTCGACATGTCATCCCCTCAAAATACCAAAAAAAAATGCTGAAGAAGACTAGTCAGATCGCATGTCTGAGCTAATTCATTTCTAAATCTAAAACTAAGTGTGCGGTATTTTTCAAAATGCTAAGGCCAGCAAAGAGATTTGTCTCAAAGGAATGCAAACAAGTATTCAAGAAATTGAAAGGGTCGTTAGCATCACCACCACTCCTCTAGAGCCTGAGGTCAAACGAATAACTCTCTTTGTACTTAGGAGTTGGATCTGAGACCATCCATTCAATTTTAGTTTGAGAGGAACTGGGGAAGCAAATTTTGGTCAATTATGTTAGCCAAGTCCTTTGAGGTGCCAAACTCAAGTGCCCTATCATAAAGAAACTAGTGTTTGCTATCATTTTTTTATGTTCACAAACTTCAATTATACTTTTAAATACATCCAATCAGAGTCCTAACAGACCATCTACTTAAGTCTGCCCTCACTTGGTTGGAGCATGTCGACGAGCTCTTCAAATGAGCAGTAGAGTTCATTGAGTTCGATATATCTTATATGCCCTGGATCGTGACCAAAGCACAAGCGATAGCTGACTTCAAGAAGATTTTTTTGAACCAAGAGAGTCGAGCAAAGCAGTACCTTTCAATAGTTAGACTTGGATACTCCATATCGATGGAGCTTCAAGCAAAACCAAAGTGGGGCTCGAACTCGCGCTGACTATGTAGTAACAAAATTTAGTAACTATTTCAAACTCAACAAAAACGTGCAAACACAACAAAATATCACAGAAATCTTAGGTTGACTCCTAAACAACGCTTGATTTAGTATGATTGTTATTTTCTTTTTAAATTAGGATGAATTAAATTTATTGAATTTTGTGGCAATCTACAACTGCTCTTAAAAAAACATTAAATGATAATTTACAAAATAATTACAAGAAAATCTCAAACTAGAATTGCTATGCTAGTCAATCAACATTGCGTTGCTACACAATTAGCACTATGGTGTTAACTAATTAGAACATAGGTGTTGTCTCTACAACAAAAAATTTAATAACTTTTTTCACACTCAGCAAAAACATAAAAACACAGCAAAATATCATAGAAATCTTAGGTTGACTCCCAAACAATGTTAAGCTTAGGCTGATTGTGCTATGCTCTTTAATTTGGATGAATTAAACTGATTGAATTATTTTGGCAATCTACAATCCCTCTTAAAGAACTTTTATTCTCTGTCTATTAATCTTAAGAATATGGGTATTTTTCATGTCATCTATATCCATAATTCCATAAGGTAGACTTTTACCACAGTAAATGCACCTAACCGCCAGGACTTCAATTTTCTTAGAAATAATTTTAAATTGAATTAAAAAGCAAAATTTTATGTCCAGGCACAAATTGCTTTTTCACAATCTTTTGATCATACCATTTCTTAGTTTGTTCTTTAAAAATCTTGAAATTTTCATAGCTTATAGTCTAATTTCTTCCAACTCATTTAACTATAGCGATCTTTTAATTCTAATCATACCAAAAAACTTTTAAATTGTAATTAAATTTCTTAATTGCCAAAAAAATTTTATCTTTTAATTCTAATAGTAAATAACAAGCCTTTTCAAATATCAAATTATAAAGAGACATTCCTATAAGAGATAATCTTATAGATCCAAAGAAAAACAAAATAACTAGATATTTTTATTCCTTGAAATCAGCATAACAAGTATATAGCGTGCTCTAAGTTTATCATAATTTCAAAGTCAAACTCTTAATTCACATGCATGGAGAATAACAAAGAAAAAAGTAAGACTCAAGCATTGAAAACCACACTAAATGATTAAAAATAAAAATAAAAATTGAAGAATAGGTTTTCAATCTTTTTAATCTGATTCCTTTTTTTCGTCTTTTGTGCACTCTTCTCCTTTCATTTAACCTCTATATCATATGACACTAACTCACTCACAGCCTACTTTCTACTTACATACTCCAAAACTCACTCTAACACACTATACTCCCTTAGCTTAATTTCTCATCTTCTCCTCTTGACAGTTATATCTCCCTCAAAATCATCACTACAACTTGATCTCATTCAAAAATGCTTGATTAAAACTCACTGGTTGATTGTCGCATTGTGACGCTGTAGAGTAGCACCATGGAGTCAATTTATAGT